ACTTGCAAAAATCACAGAAAGCGAAACAGAACTTCAACAAATCTCTAAGCCAAAACCTGGAAAAATCGCAACCCGAAAAAAGGCCGCCGGGGTTTGCATTTAGAGTGTTTGTAGAAAGTGTTCCCAAGGTGTTTCCTAAAGTTCGTCAGGCGGTCAGAAATTTGTTTAGAGTTGTTTTAGAGCTTGTTCAGAGCTTTCCCAGAGTTGATTTAAACATTGTTTGGAGCTGTCAGGCGTTCAGAATATGTTGTAGAGATGTGTTCAAGTTGTTGTTCTAATTGTTTAGGAGTTGTTATTATTTACAGAGTTGTCACAGAGTTGATTACATAGTGTTTTAAGACTTGTTTTAGAGCTCTGGTTTTAAGTTTTCTCTCAGTTTGAGATGTTCCCACGTTTCGGCTTAGAGTGTTTTTGATGTTTCGTTTTATAGTTTGGGATGCTCGCTGGTTTTGGTTAAGAGATGTTTGGAAGTTGTTCTTCGAGTTTGAGAGTTTGCCTTGTTTCGGCTTAGAATTGTTTTGTTTAGTTTCTTAAGCGTTTGAGATATTCCCAGGTTTGGGCCCAGAGATTTCTGGAAGTTTCTCTCGTGTATGAGATTTTCGAAGGTTTGGGCTTAGAGATTTTACGACGTTTTTTTAGAGTTTGAGTTTCTTCTCGTGATATGGCGGTGGACCGCCTGTAGTCACTATTGCCGAACCTAACCCATGACGGCCCAAAATGGCCCCAAGACGCCTCCCGAATCGCTCCAAATCGTGACCCGGTCGTCCAGGGAGACCGCGGTTGGAAGCAGGGTGGGCCGGGGAAACCCCCAGAGGCTCCCAGAAGTGACCCAGGAGGCTTCCAGAAGTCTCCAACAAGCCCTTGAAAACCTTCGTGAGGGTTTCAAGGGGCTCTCCTAGGATAAGCATCCGCAAAAAGAGCTGAGGATGGAGAAGAATTCGCAGGGTAGGGCGAGAGTGAGGAAGAGGAAAAGGAAAAATGAGGTAAGGATAACAAACAGCATGATTGCAACGACGATGCCAGAAAAAGCAACAACGAATGATCGCTACATGCTCAACCTTACCTTATTGCCCTCCTGTCTGCATGCCAAACCTCAAGGACCAAAGTGCATGGCGCGAAACGCCAATGCAACCTTGTATGTATATATATACATATATACATATATATACATGTATGTGTATATATATAGAGAGAGAGAGAGAGAGAAACAACAAAGAGAGAGAGAGAGAGAGAGACCTCACAAGGATCGTGGCCTCCGAGGGGGTTCCGAACTCGAGTACCACCCCTCCCGCACCAAGGGGCTCCGAGGAGGCCCCAAGGGGCGCAGAACAGGCCCCCAAGAAGCCCCAAGAGGCTCCCAAGAGACCCCCAAGAAACCTCTAATGGCCCCAAGAGGCCCAAGAGGCCCCCAAGAAACCCCAAGAGGCGCCCAAGAGGCCCCCAGAAGTCCCAGCCAACCACGAGATCCCAACCAGCATCCATGAGGCCTCTGACCCACCACCCACGCACGGTAGCGAGATAGGCCGACGGCCACTGGATAAATGCTGAGTGAGAGGAGGGGAGGGAAAAAGAGAGGAGGGACGAGGGCGAAGAATGATCACATCAGTCGGAGCGCCCCGGATCGGCGGCACTGGCCGAAGGCCACTACAATATATATATATATATATATATATATATAGACAGAGAGAGAGAGAGAGAGAAAAAAAAAAAAAAAAAAAAAAAAGAGAGGAAACATTACCCTGCGACGTACCCAACCCACGCGCATCAAATGGCAAGAGGAGTATGCCAACATTAGCAGGAACAACGACAGTGTAGACGCGGCGATTTGCTGTGCAAGCTACATGGGATGCGCATGCGTTGCACGATTCACAGGGCGACGATCGAAAAAACGAGGATTGAGGCCCCAGGATCGAAGAAGAACGGGCACGGGAACGAGGGGTAGGAGAGGGATGGAATGGAGGGCGGGGGGGGCGAAAGGCCATCGCGGAAGCAGCAGCATGCATGGAGAAGGTGAGGCGGGGAATAGGACGACGATGAAAGTGGCGGGAGGAGACAGAAGACTGCCGCGTTTTTCGAGCGCGAGCTAAACCCGCAGCGCTGCCTGCGCCATGTCGTCGCAGAGTTCCACATGATAAAACGGATTTAGAATGCAAGGAACGAGCGAGGCGTAGCTCGCCCGCTAGCTTCTCCGCCTCCTTCCCGCACATTTCAGCGCGGGAGCTGAACGCTCGCAGGCGCGCCGCCAGGTCTGCGGGCGGCCCGCGGGAAAGAAACTCAAGGCCGGGGTCGCGCATCATCAATCGGTTGTCCATCGTCCAAAGTTGCACTGGCTACGTACTGGTTGAACGCGGAGCGAGCAGCATCACGCGCGCGCCTGAACGCCACGCAGGTACAGTGCACGCGCGATTGGGACTTCAGGTCGATCACGCGCGCAGAGCAAGGGCACGCGAGCATTGCTCGTGGTCAGGAATCTGAATCCCCGCGGTGCCTCACTCCGCTGGCCACCCACCAGCAGCCCTCGAAAGTGGCGACAGTTTCACAGATCGCAGCCGCCCAGGGGTGGCGAGGTCTAATCTGAGTCCCCGTGGTGCCTCACTCCGCTGGACCCACCAGCAGCCTCGAAAGTGGCGACAGTTTCACAGATCGCAGCCCCCCAGAGATGGCGAGGTCTAATCTGAGTCCCCGTGGTGCCTCACTCCGCTGGACCCACCAGCAGCCCTCGAAAGTGGCGACAGTTTCACAGATCGCAGCCCCCCAGAGATGGCGAGGTCTAATCTGAGTCCCCGTGGTGCCTCACTCCGCTCCCTCGAAAGCAGAGCAGCCCCTCCAGGGATGGCGAGGTCTAATCTGAGTCCCCGTGGTGCCTCACTCCGCTGGCCCTCGAAAGTGGCGACAGTTTCACAGATCGCAGCCCCCCAGGATGGCGAGGTCTAATCTGAGTCCCCGTGGTGCCTCACTCCGCTGGACCCACCACCATCCCTCGAAAGTGGCGACAGTTTCACAGATCGCAGCCCCCCAGAGATGGCGAGGTCTAATCTGAGTCCCCGTGGTGCCTCACTCCGCTGGACCCACCAGCAGCCCTCGAAAGTGGCGACAGTTTCACAGATCGCAGCCCCCCCCCCCAGAAATGGCGAGGTCTAATCTGAGTCCCCGTGGTGCCTCACTCCGCTGGACCCACCAGCAGCCCTCGAAAGTGGCGACAGTTTCACAGATCGCAGCGCCCCCCCCCCAGGGATGGCGAGGTCTAATCTGAGTCCCCGTGGTGCCTCACTCCGCTGGACCCACCAGCAGCCCTCGAAAGTGGTGACAGTTCCGCAGATCGCAGCGCCCCAGAGAGACGAAGAGGGGAGAGAGGAGGCGGGAAGGAAGGAAGGAAGGAAGGAAGGAAGGAAGGAAGGTGGAGACCGCAGTGCTCTGTTCAAAACGAGTACCCAACGCAGGAGGGTTGGGACAAATAACAGAAAGAGATACTTTTTTCCACAGGTGCTCAAAAGGATCATAGTGATGGCGGGCGTTCCCGGTGGCTTAAAAAGTTTATCGAAATATCAGCGAATGGAGCACACCGTTCGGGACCCCTATACAACAGGTGCTCAAAAGGATCATTGTGATCGCACCTATCAGCGTGGCGGTAGTCCCTTTACACTCTTTGATGGCGGGCGATCGCGGTGGTTCGAAAGGTGATCACAGTATCAGCGATTGGAGCACACCGTTCGGGACCCCTATACCACAGGTGCCCAGAAGGATCAGAGTGATCGCACCTATCAGCGTGGCGGTAGTCCCCTTACCCTCTTTGATGGCGGGCGTTCCCGGTGGCTTAAAAAGTTTATCGAAATATCAGCGAATGGAGCACACCGTCCGGGACCCCTTTACAACAGGTGCTCAAGAGGATCATTGTGATCGCACCTATCAGCGTGGCGGTAGTCCAAGGTCAAGCTGAAAGTATACTCGCTCATGTCTCCTTGCGAAGCGCGAAGCATAATCAAGATGACGATAACAGATGCGATGAGTGCATTTGATAATGTTATATATACAACACATAAATATACATACATATATATACATATATATACACATATATATATATATACACTGGTAGAAACGCTCGCTTGGCGCATACTCGCCTGGTAAACACAAAGCATAGCGAAACTTCTCGCTGCCCCTGGAGTGAAAAGAGTGAACAACAGGACATGACATCGAAATTTCCCGACGGAGACGCATCAGCCTGGCGCGCACTTATCTGGTCGATTGCCCACGGGTGTGCACGCAAGGCGGAATGAATCAAACGATCGCCTCTGCGGTGAACAGAAAGCAGCTGCACCGGCGGGGCTCGCGCCAGAGACAAACCGCCTCGCGCGCACTGATCTGGTCGATTGCCCAAGGATGTGCGCGCGAGGTGGAGCGACCAGCTCTTGCAAGTAAAGGAATGCATCGAATTCACTGCAAGCGGCCAGCAGGCGGACGTCACCTGCGAGCCAGCATTGCAGCCTGACGCGCCTTGGCGCGAACGGCACACATGCTGGGCAAATTTTCCACCACCACTACCATATGTAGGACGGGGGAGGAGGAAGGGAAGATGGAGAGGTCCTCCTCCTCCTCCTCCTCCTCCTCCTCCTCCTCCGCCTCCCTCTCCTACCTATGGTAGTGGTGGTGGAAAATTGGCCCATCAACACATATTGAGGCGCCGACCAATTCCCTTTCTGAACATTCGAACGCCAGCAGTGAAACCGAGGCCGCTGGCGCCGGGGCGGGCGGCAGGCGCGCCGGCCAAGCCTGGTGAGCGAGCCAGAGACGGCGCCAAGAACGGGCAACTCCACGCCCCGGGCATCCAGCGGCTGGCAGCAAGACCACGGAGGGGGCGCCTCGCCGCCCAAGGGGCGTCCTGGCGGGGTGGAGACGCCGGGCGACAGGAGAGGGAAGAGACGGCGGAGACACTCAAAACCAGCACGCGCAATCCGATTGCTGTCTGCCCCCGTCCTGTGGGCGATCTTGGAGGGCATCGATTAGCTGAGCTTCTCGAACAGGTGGTTCAGCTTCGCGTTTAAAGCACCGATCTCGGCTGTCAGCAAGCTAATGTCACTGGCGTCAGCGCCGTTCAGCGGGCGAATATCACTGCACGCGTCATTGGGGATCTGATTCGCCACACGGTGCGATACATTCTTTGCTTTGTGGCCTTTGTGGCAGAAAGATAACGTAAACGCGAGGATGACGCCAAACAAGTGGACGAAGATAGGCCCAAGCATGCTCTCGATCGGGAAACTGTCCGTCTCAGAAAACTTCGAGTCTGGATTACCATTCTCGTCGCATCCTTCCATCATCGACTCTCTGTAGATTTTTTCCTCGAGGTCCGCGATCTGACCGTCCTTTTCCAGCTCGAGGAAAAGATCGGCGAGGGAATCCCTCAGAACAGCAGTGCACTTTTGGCCAAAATCGTTACTCTTGACCATCCAGCCACCTTTGAAAGTCGCCAGAGGGATTTCGCCGACTGATCTCAGCGTGCAACCAAGGTTTAGCTTCTCGTCTTTCTTTGCCAGACGGTACTCGGAAACCTCATCAAGGGCAGCAGCACACTTGCCATCAAGTAAGTTCTTCATTTTGAGATCGTTGTCGGAAGCCACTAGCATGTTGTGTGTGTACAGCTTGTTATGAGCTTCCTTCAGGAAGTCCACGTGGATGCCTTCAGCTACGCACAACATACGTCTCCCCTTCGTGCACTCTTGTAAAGTTTCGCACGCGCGGACCTCATCTGCTGCCACCCATTCTGCCGCGAGATTGGCTGTGTACGCAGCCAATCAAATCATGATGAAGAATGTGAAGGTCAAGATGAAGACCTTCCCTGCCATCGTACGCGGAGTGAAAGTCCCAACCTGCGTCAGGGTTGTCAAGCCCATCACGATGTTCTGCTCAATCTTGTATCCATCCGGACCCTCTGCAGTCCACCCATCGCCCGATTCGTCCCTCTCCAGGAAGAAGTAGGCCAAGGATGTCAACAAGGCGATAACGAGGAAGAGACCCCAAAGAGGTCCTTCCAGCGGAACGCTGAAAGTCTTAAGCTTCTCCCAGAAACTGGGGCTCTGAACGGTGCCGTACGTAACGGGCATGATGATCATGTCTGTGTAACCGTATGGCGTTCGGATGCCCGCAGACGCCCGGTCAGGGATGTCGGCCCAATTATCGAGGTTCACGTCAAACTTCTCCAAGCTGCTGGCGAGGTACTTCGAGCCACAACAAGGCCACCTTGATGATCATAGGCGCCCACACTCCGCGAATGACTGACACTTTGGTGCGAAAGAAACAGCTGAATCCAGAATGTCTTGAGCCAACGTGGCTTGAGCAAAAATGGCTACGGAAGAACAGAAAGAGATACTTGGTGGCCTCTCCCCCAGAACCCCTAAGAAGCGCAACAACAGTAAAACGCAAGGGAATACCGTGATGTTGTTTTTTTCTCCTCACAGCGAGCGCACTCACTCATCGTTGTCTGTTCCTTTTTCCTCTCCTCTTCCTCATCTTCCTCCTCATCCTGCTCCTCCTCCTCCTCCTCCTCCTCCTCCTCTTCATACTCCTCCTCGAGAGCCTTCGAAAACCTCAGATCAGCGAAATTGCGAAACACAATGGAAACACTCAAATAAACAAACAAACAACTAGGGTTTCGGACAATCCCCTCGCTTCCCCTTGTCCCCAGGAATTATTCAGAAATCGTAGTTCGTTGGTGTTGTTGTGTTGTGTTGTGTTGTGCTGTGCTGTGCTGTGCTGTGCTGTGTTGTTGCGTTGCGTTGCGTTGCGTTGCGTTGTGTTGTGTGTGCGCGTGTGTGCGTATGTGTGTGTGCTATATGCGTGTCTTGTTCTCTATGTGGTTGTCATTGTTTCTTGAATGGTGTTCCTCCCCCTCCGCCTCCGACTGGGGACGGGGGGCGAGCCTGCAGCGAGCCTGGCCTCCGCAGGACCGAGCCGCCCGGACTGCTCCCGCCCTTCCCGCCGGAGGCGTCCAGGCAAGGGGGGGGGGAGCCGCCCCGAAGGGGGGAGCGGGGCCAGCAGACCCCTGCCGCAGGCACGTGCGCGGACGAGAGGGGGGACCGGGGACGTCCTGAAACAAGGATCAGGTCGGGCATGTCCCCCTTGAGGCGAAGCTTGGGCGAAAAATTACCGATACTTACCAAAAAACGACCCCAAATAATCAAATTAAGAATCAACATATCGTCCCCAAACTATTCATGGACTATTTTTGAACATTCCTCCTGTAGACGAACATGTCCGACTTAAAACAAGAAGGGGGGCCATGATCTCTGGGGAGATCTCCTGTTTCCAGCCATGCTGTCCGCCCCCATCCAAGTCATCGCCCTTCGTTGCCGCCCCCGACGCTGGGCCTCTGGAGGCATCTGGGGCCCTCTGGACGTCTCCGCGGGGGCCTCTGAGACCTCCTCGTGACCTCCGCACCCTCCAGGCACTTGCCTCCGGGGCCGGGATCAGGGACAACCACCGACTATCTCATTTTATACTTCGCGATAGCGCCCATTACTGGCCCCGTCCCCCCCCCGCCCGTCCCCCCACCCCTGGTAACGTCACAAATCACGCCGTTCCTGCACGTGCCCAGTATTCTCAAACAGATCTGGCGCGAATCGTAGCGTTACGGGGGCCCTCCCCCCCCCCCACCCCCTGGTAAGCCCAATTCTCACCAAAGGATACAAAAAAACATGTCTCTAATCATACACCTCTACACCGATCCTCGCCGGGCTCACACTGGGCCTGGCGATGGTGCCCACGCCCTCCTGGCGTTGGCCAAGCGGGCGCATGCACCAAGCCTGGTGGAGCCGACACAAATACAGAATCATACGTGAATTGCACATCCCTTGGCCAGCGGATAATCTGGTCCCCCGGGGGGCGGTGGATCCGAATTCCTCTGAAGGAGCAGAACCTACGTGCTGCAATATATGTGCTGCAAAATCTCGGTGCAACCCATGTGGCGCAAATTCGCTGCTGCTCGCAATGACTTACCCACTCCAATTCCCAGGTAATCATCCCACCCACCCACCCTCAACCTGGTTTGCAGCATCCATGCTGGGCGCTGGCTGGCGCATCGCCGCGGCCACGCTAGCGCGCATGCTCGCACGAGTAGCTGCCACCTCGTTTGGCGCGACCGGCGCAGCCGCGGTGGCACGGACCGCTGCAAACTCCCCACAGGCCGCGCTTTCGCGGGCACTTCACTGCGAGTCGGTGGCTTGGGCAGGCGCGGAATTATGGCGACGTCGGCAATGGCAGACGCGATGATGACTGTAGCGACGCTGCCGACGACGATGACGATGACGACAGCACGGGCAATGACGACGCCGATGCTGATCACGCCGATGACGATGATGGCGTCCACGCGTCGGCGCTGCAGGTGTTGGACAAATTTCGGTCCTCGCGCTCGCGGCCGACGCGCGCGTCCCCCCTCCAGGCACGCGCGCAAGGGCGTTCAAATGACTCCGACATGCGCGCGCCAAAGACCCGTTAGGTCGCATTCGACGAGACTGGCGTTATTCCATATATATATATATACATATATATAGAGTACATACATATATGCATATATGTATGTATACGTAGTGCTCTTGAGACTTCGCAAGGGCGCGCTCGCAGATTTTCTTCCAAGGATCACGTTGCAAGACCATGTGCTTCAAATGTGCTCGGGACACTCGATTTTTAAATCCTTGCGAAAGCTTCGCTGTTTGACTGATTCTAGCATGCGCGCGCGACGATGCGCGCGTGCGCACTTCGCCACAGATGTTGCCCACGATCACTGACAAGTGGCAGTCTGTGATAAACAAGGGTGCGCGCATAAAGTTTTCAAGCCTGGCCTGGCTGGGATGGCATGAACTCATATCTAGAATAAACGATGGGGCAAAATCTTACGGGAATTGTGCATCCCCGGGTGGCGCGATTATCCCGGCCTCGGGGGGTGGTAAATCCAAATTCCCTTTGAGAAAAAGAACCTACGTGGTGCTAATAATTGCGTTCGCAATCGTGGGTCAATTCCAACGCTCGCACAAATATCTCACCCACACACACACACACACTCGCAACTTGGTTTGCGAAACCCCTGCGGCGGCGATTGCGGCGACTGCTCGGCGCTGGCTGGCGCATCGCCGCGGCCGCGCTCGCGCGCGCCGGCTCGCGCGCAGAGCGGCAAACTATTCAGGCGCGGCCTACGCGGCCGCAGCGGCGCTGACCGTTGGGGACTCCACAGCGCGTCTCGCACGCCGCGCTGACGCGCGGGCGCATCACTGCGAGCCGGTAATTTCCGCGGGCGCTGTATCATGGCGACTTTGACAACGACAGACACGATAATGATTGAAGCGATGATGGTAACGACGATGCCGATGGAAGCACCCCCCCAGCACGGTCCCAAAGGCATTCGAATGATTCCGCCACGCGCGCGCGAGAGGCCAACTTGGTCATATGCGACGTAAACGGTGAAAAAAAACAACCAAATGCTCGCAAGGAACCGTAAAAAAAAACACGTGTTTGAAAAACCATGGTACCAAACCTATGAATTTTTACATCCCCCATGATCTCGATTTTAAACTCCAGCTCGACATGAAACTCCGTGCGAAACCTAAGGTTTTCACAATTGTCGGCATGCGCGCGCGCGACGCGCGCGCGCGTGAATTTTGCCACATTGCCTGCAAGGGGATATTGACAAAACTGCGGACGTTCGATAGAACGAGTGCGCGCACATGGTCTTATCTGTCAGGGATAACGGGGGTCGAGAAGGGTAAGGTCTGAACTCATATTGAAAAATGGCAGGGCGAACAACACACGTCAACTGTACGATCCCAGACAGAGCCGCGAAACACGAGGGGGTAGATTCAAGTTTTTTTGAAAAGAGGATATATATATATATATATACATATGTATATATATATATATATCGGTGAGCTAGCGGGGCCATTAAAAGGCCAGCGCACGCCAAGCTAGCATTCACACGCGGAGCGGCGGAGCAGGCGCAAGCATTCAGGGTGGGTCACTTTCTCACAGCAGTCTCGCACGAGCTGAATCGAGCAATCCAGGATGAAACCATTGACGAGGCGTCGCCAGAGAATCTCTGAGCTGCATGCCGAGGAATACGAACCAAGCTCGGGCACTCTCCAAACTGAAAAACAAAACGGAGCCGCCACAAAGGGCGGGCGGGCGGGGCGGCCACAGACCCAACCCCTCCCGCGAGGGAAAGACAGTCGTCGACAGCACATCTTTCTGTGAGCTAGCGGGGCCATTACGGGGCCAGCACGCGCCGAGCTAGCATTCGCGCGCGGAGCGGCGGAGCAGGCGCAAGCATACAGGGTGAGTCACTTTCGCACAGCAGTCTCGCACGAGCTGAATCGAGCAATCCAGGAAGAAACCGTTGACGAGGCGCCACCAGAGAATCTCTGAGCTGCACGCCGAGGAAAACGAACCAAGCTCGAGCACTCCCCCAACCCACTAATCTTTATTGTCGTCACTCAGGGTGGGCGGGATCGGGATCTCAAATGTAAGCTTGCGCCCTCGACCGACGGATGGAATTGGCGGCGGTCAGCATCTGCTTCTTCACCGAGTCGCGACTCGCTGGGTCGAAGAGTGCGGCGCCCATCGGTATCTTGTGACGGGCGGCCGCGGCCTGGCGCAGGAGCTTGCCACTCTTCTCGTACCTCTCCACACTGCGTGGCGCCAGCCAGCGGCCTCTTTTCTGGATCATCTTGAGGTCGAGCGACTGCAGGTGCATGGCCGAGCTGGCCCGGCCGTGCCGTGCCGAGTGAGGGGTCGCTCTGAGCGGGTCGAGGCCGGCCAGCTCTGCGACTTTCAGGATGTGGCGCTCGTGCTCGCCCAGAGTCGGCGGCGAGAACAGCGGCTGGCCTGGGAGCGCGCGCCGCTGCAGGCCCAGGAGTACCTCGGGGACAAACTCGAAGCCCAGGCCCTTGAGCCCGGCGATGACGGCGTCGTCGAACTCGCCGCTCTCGGCTGGCCGCGCCGCCGGGCGCTTGCGCACTGCCGTCGGCGTCGACGGCGCGGGCGCTCGCAAGCCGGCGCGCGCGGCAGCCTCCGCGGCAGCCGCGCGCACGGGGCCCGGGGCCACGATCACGGCCACACCCTGGTAGGCCCCGGTCCGCGGCGCCACGACGTCCTCGCGCGCGATGTTCAGCGTCTCCGAGGGCCCGGCGAAGAGGTCGCACTGCGCGCCGAACGCCAGGCCGCTGAGCACCGAGAGCGGGGACCCGTCCTGCAGAAGCGCTGACACC